TAGTTTTTGGCAATGGTAGAGGAAGCTATGGGAGCATGGCCGCTGTGTCCTGAGCACGCCACGGCCAGCTGCTCCAGCAGCAACAGCCACCGATGCAGGCAGCACCAGCCACCGCAACAGCCCGCAGCTTGCTAACACCAACAGCTGCCGCGGCTGCTGCGCCAGCCAGCCAGCTAGCCATGCCACGGCCGGCCTCCAGCGACCGCCACGGCCAGCACTTAGGCCAGCACTCGCTGCCCAAAGCGCCAACGCTGTGGCTCGTCGCAGACCAACCCGTCAGTATCGTGTCCCAGCCAGCTGCCGCCCAGCAGCACCACCAGCGCTGCCTAGCAGCGCCCAGCTGCGCCAGGCACCACCACATGCTGCTCAGGGCCGCCACGTGCTGCCCAGAGCCGCTGCGTGCTTAGTGCCGCCCCATGCCGCCCAGTGCTGCTCACGAGTGCCCAGCTCACGTGTCAGCACCGCCCAGCAACGCGCTGTACTGCCAGCGACGCGCGGTACTGCACAATGACGCACGGCACTGCCCAGCAACACGCGGTACTGCACAGTGACGCGCGGCACTGCCCAGCGACACGCAGTACTTCCAGAGACACGTGGCACTGCCCAGTACCGCCTGGTACCGCCCAGTGCCGCCCAGCAGCTCCAGGCCGGGCATTTACGTTGGCCCCCCTGTGCTGCACCTCACCGCCAGGACGCCACAGAAATCCCTGCCTGGAGCCACTAAGAGTCTCGAAGCTAGCTCTGCATCTCCACACAACAGCTTTTCTGGCGTCTGGTGCGGCCCAGCTCCCCTGACTCAGGTCCGGCATAGCAAATGCCCCACAAAGGCTTTTTGGTCCCCTTGGCGGCTGCTTCGGCACCACCAAGGGATTTCCAAAAATGCTAGGGGGATTGCTCCCTGCTGTTGAGAGCGCCTGTGCCACCCAGACATCACCACAAAGCTGCTGTGATCTCTGGCACGATGCCCCTCACTCCCCTCGCACAGGTTTGGCACAGCATGTCTCCAGGCCGGGCATTTGCACTGGCCTCTGCGCGCTGTGTTCTGCCGCCAGAGCGCCACAAATAATCCCCACCTGGAGCTGCTTACGGCCACTAAGAGTTTGGGAGCTAGCTTGATATCTCCACTCAGCAGTCTTTCCGACGTCTAGCGCAGCCCAGCCCCCCTGACTTGGGTCTGGTACAGCAAATCCCTCACAACGGCTTTTTGTCCCCCTCTGGTATGTTGCCTTGGCACCACCAAAGGATCACCAAAGATGCCAATGGGAATGCTCCCTGCCACTCCGAGCACCCAAGCTGCCTAGACATCGCCACAACACTGCCAAAAATCGACCTAATCTGCCATGGAAGCACAAAACCAGCTTTGCATGCCAGCACTGGCCCTGCTACTGCAGAGCCAGACACTATGCCGATGGCACGGGCTCTCTCACCACCTCTGGTGCCAGATCCCTTGCAATCGCCACCCAGGCCAGCCCTTGCCACTGGAACAGAGCAGCGAGCCCTCTCGCCTTAATGCTCTCCAGGACCTGGCCCAGCGCAGCAGCCACTGTCACCTTTGCACTTGGCTCTGCTCTGCGTGTCCATGACACCACACTCAACACTCTCGACAAGTGCCTCGACACAACCAACAAATTGCCCTTCTATCGACGGAGGTACACAGATGACGGAGGGACAGGTACACGAGCAGGCCTCGAACGATGGCTCCGAGGATACGGCACGCTACGTCCCTCGATCAAGATCACCTCGGTGATCTCGCTCGAGGAGTTGGATATCCTCGATATCCACTTCTTCAAAGGCCCTCGCTTTGAAGAGACAGGCTGCCTTGACTTGTCCACGTTCCAGAAGCCGCTCAATGCCTACCAGTACCTCCCCTGGACGTCAGTTCACCCATGGCACCAGAAAGTGGCATTTATCCACAGCGAACTCCGGAGATACCTCCTCCGCGAGAGCACGGCCGATGGATTCCATGCCATGCGCACGCGGTTCTACCACCGCCTCTGTGCCCAGGGATACCTGATCTCCTTCCTCCAACACTGCCTCTCCAGCATCTCCTCTGACCAGTGACATCAAGCTCTCCTTGCACGCTTGCGCCGCTCTAGTGACGCTTGTCGACGGGCCCCCCTCGCCTTAAAGCTGCCCTACACGCTTCACAGCATGCAGCTAGGCTTGGGGGACATCCTAAACCCTAAACAGGTGATGGATGAAGCTCCCGCAGACACACTCCCCTGAGTGATCACGTGCTGGAGATGCCTCCCGAACCCCAGTTCGTTCCTGGTCAGGGCTAAACTCGCGTTGCGAGCTCAGCCACATCTTCTACCACACTTTGCAAGAGACGGAAGCATATGATTGCATCCTTCTCCGCATGACCGATGACCTTCAGGGTCTGGCTAATGGACTCTAGGTATGTCCCAGTCACCCCAGGTCGTCCCCCACCGGTCAACGCCCGGTCAACGCCCAGTCTACTGTCCAAACAGGAATATTCCCGAATATTCCCTGACAGTCAGATTGTTGACCGAGTCAACGAGGCCTACACCATTCGATTCTGCACCCCTTTCCAAGTGTGACTACGTTGGTCTCATCTCCTTACGATGGACACCACACCTTGGAAAGCTTGCGAATCTCATAATGGTGCCATGCGACGACGTCGACGCCACACGCGCCGACACCGCATACCCTATGACTCCCAGGGTCTGGCCGATGGACTTCAGGTATGTCCCAAGTCACTCCAGGCCACCCCCTTTCGAGTCAACGCCAGGTCAACGCGGAGTCAACGGTCAGAACGGAATATTCCCCAATATTCCGACTGTATCCCTGTTGACCGAGTCAAAACGGCATATACTGTTGGATTCCGCTCTTCCTTCCGATCGTGAATATGTGAGTTTCAACTCTGAACTCCACACACGACTCGTGGAAAAGCGTGTATTCCGTTAAAACGGTGCCGCTCCCTCGACATCGGCGACACATGCCGACAGCTCGCGGGATGGCTCTCCCCTGCATCACCGCTGGACTCCGGGTATGTATGAGTGACCTCAGGCCCTCCACCATCCCAGTCCACACACGGTCAACGCAGGGTCAACGGTCAACGACGGAATATTCCCAGAATATTCCCTGCAAAGTGAACCACGTTTTTCGTCACCGGGTACGTACGAGTGACACAAGCATTGTGGACGTAACGCATGCATCATATCATGCCGCGTTTACAAGTTATCTTGCGTCAAAGGTACGTCACCCGCCGGCTGAACGCTTACTGTCTTCGGCGATCCGCCGAAGTCATTCTCCGCGACTACCACTGCTGTGGAGTAACCAACACCAGCTGTGCTACGTTCGCACCCTCGCGAGCCAACGCTGCCACGCCACTTTGCATGGCCGCCACACGGACTTGCGCCACATGACAGAGCCAAAATATAAGTAGAGTTGGCGCCGAGCTAGGGTTAGGGTAGACACTAGACGACTACACCCGGCTGATGAGTCCCAAAAAGGACGAAACCGGTCTCGGGTTGTCTCTTGTCCTCTCCCTCGCTCATGAATGAATGAAAATTCATTCCCTTGCCTCCTCTACTTGCTCTCGATCATGCCGTCTCGACAACGGCACACGGAGAATGTGGATTGCACAAAGTGGTGCCGCGATCTCGCCGGATTGCAACACCGCGGGGTGTCTTTGACCCTAAACGCCTAAACGCGCCTAAACCCTAAACCCTAAACCCTAAACCCTAAACCGGAACCCTAAACCCTAAACCCTAAACCCTAAACCCTAAACCCTAAACCGGGGAGGTGGCGAGATTCGCTGGCAATGGCGCCCCCCAGACTCTGTTCTAAGGTCAGCTCGTGGGGGAGACTTGGACATCGACATGATTCGCTCGAGACGACCACGTCCACTTCTACTCCAGGACTAGGTCTAGCTGCGGCATATGAGGATCACGTAGAGTAGCTCATTGAGAGGGCGGCACGCCCATTTTTTGTATTAGTCCCATTGGGACATGGGGAATGTACATACACGTTCAGCGATCTCGCCGGATTGCAGCACCGTGGGCTGTCTTTGACCCTGAACGCCTAAACGCGCCTAAACCCTAAACCATAAACCCTAAACCGGACTGCACAAAGTGGTGCCGCAATCTCGCCGGATTGCAACACCACGGGGTGTCTTTGACCCTAAACGCCTAAACGCGCCTAAATCCTAAACCCTAAACCCTATAAACCCTAAACCCTAAACCCTAAACCTAAACCCTAAACCCTAAACGCGGGGTGCCTTTGACCCTAAACGCCTAAACGCGCCTCCCCAAAAACCCTCAACCCTAAACCCTAAACCCGGGGTGCCTTTGACCCTAAACGCCTAAACGCGCCTAAAACCTAAACCCTAAACCCTAAACCGTTAAACCCTAAACCCTAAACCCCTAAACCCTAAACCGCAATGTTTCTCTCGAGCGTGACATTAGCCATGGACGGCAGGGAAACGAGCAGGGGCGCAATGTGGTTACTGGGACTCCTCCCACCCATTCTGATGCCCCGGGTTTTTCTTCAAGGGGTCCCGTGCACCGGCAATCTCCAACCATGCTTGGTTCCCAGCCAGCCATGACTGGCAGAGGTGGCCAATGCCAGTTTCGAGGAAACGGTCGACCCCCACGGTCCCAACCGAACTGGCCAAGCGGCCGAGGGCGCCAGACTACACCACGACCTCCTCCAGCAGCCCAACAACGCCAGCCAACTCAGAACCAGAAACCACCTTCACCTCCCAGAGGACAAGAGATGCAGCCCTCACAGCACCACAACAACACCCCACTCCACGAACGAACCCAACGCTATGGCTTGGGAAGAAACTCGCCTCCACAGCAACGCCCGCACTCTCCAGTTACGGCAGTGCCTGTGGACAGAAAAGGCAAGGCAAAAGTTTCTGGCTACCTTTGATTGCCCCGCATGAAGCTTTACTTCATTTTGCCGGCAATCAAAAAGTTTCCCAGCTAGAAAATAGAGTGGAGATTGGTGCTGTTCACAATTTGTCTTCTCGCATGTTGAGTGCCGCTGAAAAGCGCCTCCTTGCTCTTGGGCTCTCATTCATTCCTAATCCAGTGCCTCTCACGGCCAAAAAGATTATGGAATGCTTAGATGACTTTCAACGCTCAGTCCGTCTTCGTCATTCGTTTAAGGACAGCAACAGTCTTATACCAGAGTTTCGGGTTCCCAACCCAAACTTTGATCCTCCCCCTGCTTCCTGGCACATGGAGTCACGAGTTGCCCGCATTCGAGAGCACCTTCTCCAACGTCTTTCCTGTTGTAAAAGACCTCGATCTTTTCTAAGAGGATGGAGACGTGATGCAGTCCTTGCGCTGCGACACGATCATAGTATTGTGATTAAACCAGCCGACAAAAACCTTGGCGTAGTTGTTCTGGACCGCACGTGGTACATTCAAGAGGCTATGCGCCAACTCAATGATCCTCTTGTCTACAAGAGAGTTGAGTCGATTCCACATCAACCCATGCATGAGCGCCTCCTCGAACTTCTCCTGAAGTATAAATCTTGCTCATGGCTGGACAAGAACACAGCCAAGTACCTCATCACTTTGCCCTCACCTCCACGTAAAGCTTGTTTGTTGTATTTTCTTCCAAAAATACACAAGCAGCCAATTCGTGGGAGACCAATTGCTAGCTATGTTGGCTACATTTGGGAGCCACTTGCAAAATGGCTCCACCGCCAACTTTTTGGCATTCTCCTCCAACAGGAAACCTTTCTTATGGACTCCCACACCCTCCTTCATGATCTTCATAAACAACAGCTCCCAAAAGACTGCCTCCTCTTCACTTTTGATGTGGAGTCGCTCTACCCGAGCATTCCCACACGTGAAGGGCTCTATTGCCTCCATAAATTTGTATATAGAAATTTTGGAGATTCAATGCAAGCACGCTTTATCATGGCTGCTGCAGGACTCATCCTTGAACACAATTATGTTGAGTTCGATGGGAGTTATTTCCTTCAAATCCGAGGCACTGCTATGGGGTCAAACTTTGCTGTGGTGTATGCTTGCCTTTTTCTTTGTTCCCTCGAGGACGAGTTTAAGGCCACCTCTTCTAAATGGCCAATATATCTTAAGAGATATATTGACGATGGTGTCGGAATTTGGGATGGATCAAAAGAGAGCTTGGAATGCTGGTTGGCTAGCTATGGAAGCCTCTGCAATTCTATAAAGATCACCTCAGTGATCTCATTTGAATCTATGGATATTCTAGACATCCATTTTTTCAAAGGCCCACGCTTTGAGAAATGCAGGTGCCTAGACTCCACCACCTTTCAAAAGCCACTAAATGCATACCAATATCTTCCATGGAACTCAACGCATCCTCGACACCAAAAGATTGCCTTTATTCGTGCTGAACTTCGGCATTACCTCCTACGAGAGAGTAACCCTGAGAGCTTCTGTGCAATTCGCAAGCTTTTCTATACTCGTCTCCGTGCACGTGGATACCCAAGAGCCTTCCTTATTGAAGCTTTCCGGACAATCCATTATACGGACCGAGATAATGTGCTCTACTCTCCATCACGCAAATCCAGTAGCAATAGTCTACAGGCCCCCCTCATTTTCAAGCTGCCTTATACTCTCCATAGTGCGGCACTTGATGTGGGGAACACCCTAAACCCTAAACAGGTGATTTCTGAAGTTCCATCAGACTCACTCCCCAGAGTGATCACATGCTGGACACGGTCCCCAAACCTTGCTTCCCACTTGGTTTCAGCGAGACTCCCACCATATGAATAAGCTACCTTGGACTTGCCCAAAGCTACCTCTTGCAAACTCGGAGTGGAATATTCCTGGAATATTCTGATGCTTTGAAATATTTTTTGAGGTTAGCTATTAAACATGATGAGGAACAATTAGGACGTGCTGCATGGCTGATATCCATCACCATCACCGTTCACAATATACTGCTATGAATAAGCTACCTCTTGCAAAGTCGGAGTGGAATATTCCTGGAATATTCTGATGCTTTGAAATAACTTTTGAGGTTGGCTATTAAACATGATAAGGAACAATTAGGACGTGCTGCATGGCTGATATCCATCACCATCACCGTTCACAATATACTGCTATGAATAAGCTTCACACCACTAAGCTTGTTTATTTCCTATTTCAGTCTTTGAAATTTTCAACTTTTTTGAAATTTCAATTGATTATTATATCTTGTGCCTTGCACAGTGATGTCATTGAAGTTCACATCTATTCTCTACAAACAAAATTTGAGGGAAATATACTGAGCTAATTAAAATCACCACCACCTCTTCTCTGAAATTTTTCTGAAATTTCAAGGGACTATCACATCTTGTGCCTTGCACAAAGATGTCATTAAAACTCATATTTTATTTTCTACAAACCAAAATTTGTAGAAAATAAACTCATAATAATAGCAATCAATACCACCATCATAATATATAAGATAAGTGGCTAGTGACAACCAAGTCTGTGAGGCTGTTCCTCCAAGCTTGCCTGCTCACACTCCACCACAAGATCTTTGAAATTCTAAAACAGTTGGATATTTTCAAAGCTTCTTGAATATTCTTAAGGCATCTGGGTATAAATAGAGGAAAAGAGGGGCTAGGTTAGACCATTTTCATGGCGACTACACCCGGCTGATGAGTCCCAAAAAGGACGAAACCGGTCTCGGGTTGTCATGCCAATGTATTTCCTTTCCCTTTAGTGAAATTTTCATTATAAATTTTCTCTAGTTTTTCCTCTTATCTCAGATTGCCATAGCCGATCTCTAGCATTCTTGAGTTCCACTGGATCAAGCAATGTGGAGTGCTTTTGGCTAATCACAATTCCAAAATCCTAAACCCTAAACCCCTAAACCCTAAACCCTAAACCCCTAAACCCTAAACCCTAAACCCTAAACCGGTAAACCCTAAACCCTAAACCCTAAACCTGTTCCTGTTTATTGCGGATGCTCTGGCCTACTACCTCGCCCGACCACAGGGTCCAAAAGGCATGCCCCTTCCAGGCTGTGGCGCCGCACTTCAGGACATGACCGAAGCCTCAAAGGAGGACCTCCTATCCTCAGCCTTTGCAGATGACACAAGCCTGATCGTGGAGGGATCACCGGAGAACCTCTCAAATGTCAAAAGGGACCTGGACTTTTTCAATGAGGCCATGGGATCAAAAATAAACTGGCATAAATCGGTAGGACTATGGCTCCCCCCCGGCAGACCTCCAACATGGGGCACGGAGCTGGGTTTCAAATGGCTGGACACAGAGGAGACCACCCGCTACCTAGGATTTCAAGTGGGACGCCAATATGATCCAGAACCCCAGAACCAAAAAGCTGTAACAAAACTAAGGGATCAACTCAAGTTTTGGGCGAGCAGAAAACTATCGTTCTCAGCACGCTGCGTGGTGGCTAACAGCATCCTGCTTGGAGCGATCTGGTTCCTGGCAGCATGCTGGAACATGGACAGGCGAACGATCCAGGAAATGAACCAACTCATTCGAACCTATGTCTGGAAAGGCTCCTCCTGCGTGTCGCGTGGTGGAGCAAAGGTCAACTGGCGGTCAGTAACACTTCCGAAGCACGAAGGGGGCCTCAATATTATTGACATCGAAGAACAATGCAAGGCACTTCTCTTCAAGATTTTCACAAGGATGCTCATGCCTGGCCACCAACCATGGAGAATACTGCTGCGAGCACAATTTTTGAAAGTCCTCCCGGACAGGAATGAGCACACCAGACAAAACTGGGCGTCAGATGAACAATGGCTCTTCTCAGACACCAAACTCAAAATGACAAAGGCTCACACATTTTCAGGAAAGCTGTTCAAGCTCTGGAGGCAATTCAAGTGCAAGCTGGAACGTAAACCACCTCGTACCAAAGAACAACTGGACCGGCAGCCAATTTTCCTGAGCAAACTCTTCGCTGTCAAGGGTAAAACGCTCGGAGCTTCAGAGGATCGCGGCCTGGACCAGACATGCAGAGACCTGCACAGAGCAGGGATGAGAACCTTCGCAGAGGCAGACACCATGATCCAGCCCAACCAGACGGCCCACAACTGCGACCGAATCAGTGCTTTCTACGGATTAACCATCTCAGAACACAGGATGCGTAAATTCCAGACAGCCTTTTTAGCAGCCAAACACGCATGCCTTGAACAACTAAACCTGCAAGAAGATCAGCACCATCGTTGGTGGAAGGTGGATGAATCGATCGTATGCACCCTCCCCAACATGGCATCGGGACTATGTAAGGAACCAACTCGCCGAGGTGTCGTAGGCTAAGGGAACCCCGAAAGCATGACCAAAATGACAAAGAGTTCATCGGATGGGACCAAGTCAAAGATCGAGTCCAAGACCGACTCTAGGACCGAGTTCGAGATAGAGTCCGGAATCGAGTCCAAGACCGACTCGGGGACCGAGTTCGAGTCCGAGTTCGAGACCGAGTTCGAGACGGAGTCCGAGATCCGAAATCGGGTCCGAGACCGAGTCCGAAGTCGAGTCCGAGGTCGGGCCCGAGATCGGGTCCGAGATCGAGTCCGCGATCGAGTCCGAGACCGAATCCGAAGTCGGATCCGAAATCGGATCCGAGATCGAGCCAGAGACTAAGTCCAAATACTAATACGGGTCAAGGGGTGAAAGCCCAAAGCGTGCGTCCCCCAGGGGGGGGGGGCTGCAGGGGGTTCCAAAAGTATAGTAGGGATAGTGAGGTCCAGGAACCAATTTTGAAGGGACTCTCCAGTTGGGCTTCCAAACCGACTTGAGGTTGGGACTGGGACTAAGGGGCCTTGGGTGGGAGTGAGCATGGACTTGGCTGGTGCCGGAGGGGCCATCCAAGGAAGTGCACAAGAGCAGCTCCCACTCTCGAAAGGGAAACCGATTGCGGTGCTCCCGGCTCAAGTGGAGTGGTGCCCCACTTGAGTACCATGCGGCTCATTGGTCCTCGCCCTGCCTAGGGGCTTGGGCCTTCCTTCGGGATGGAAGTGGGGGGCGAGAGGTACCCATACCGGGCCGCTAAGCCACGGTGTTTCGCCCCGGCGTCCCGAAGCAAGTGTTGCACTCAAGACTTGGGATTTAGAGGGTCCCATGATCAAGTCTTGTGGTACCAAAGGATGTTAGGAACCTGGAAGCTTGGTGTGCTTGGCTGCTTGTGCTTGCGGGGAGTGTAGCCGAACCTTAAGTCCAGTCTAACCCGGGGAGGGGGATTGGGAGTGATTTGGGAATCCGTGGATGGTGGCTAACACTCCGTTGCTCGTGCAGTGAGTAGCTGAGACCAAGTAGGAGCTGGTACCATAGGCGAGAACCTTGGCAAGGGAACTTAGCAAAATCCAAGGCGGTGTTGGACGGATAGGCGAGGTAAGCTGGCAAATTGGAAAGGAAAAATTTGTGGCTTACAGACTAGTCTTCGAGGCAGGACAGACCGGACGCTTGTACCCCATCGTTATCCCCGAGTACGAGGACCTCCCTGACATGAGCAGAGCTAAACCGATCAGAGTGATTCAAATGGAGAAAAAAACTGCCAACATTGATCCTTTGATCCCAGAAAACCAATACGCTCGCCTCTACTGGTTCCACCAACAAACCTTGGACGAACTCAAGTGGGATCCCGCAGAGTGGCATTGGAGGGGAACCACGTGCAAGGACTTCTTCCAGTACGAGACCAAGCTAGGCCGCAAACTGATCAGGGTGCCGACTGGATCCTCCCTCATCCGGAAAGCAAAGGCCCAACAGATCTGTTCCAGGAACCACTCACACTGCATCAACAAGATCTGGAAGGGGCGCTGGTCAGCTAAGAACCGCTACTTCATGTGGCTGGCCCAACAAGAACGTCTTCCCTCTCTGGTCGCCATACATCTTCCGAACACAGCCTGCAAGACCTGTGGCGCCACAGAAACTCAGCGACACATCTTATGGGAATGTCCGGCAGCACAGGAAGTATGGGAAGGTGCAGCAGCGGTACTCAAACGAACGTCAACCGGAGGAGCTGCAATCACATACGAATCAGCGCTCTAGGGTAGCTTCATCCAGGGAAAAAAAAAGAATCCTGTTATGATAATATGCAGTCCTGCAGCTTCTCTGCTCGATGTTGTGGTTGAGCCGCCTTCTAACCAACGTCTCTTGCTCTTGAGATATATTTGAGGCATATTTGAAACGGTTACACTTGGCTTTCTCATGGTTGGGCACACTCATGAAGACGTCGATGCCATGTTCAGTCACCTGGCAGAGTCCCTCTGGCAATCCAATGTCCTCACCCTCCCACAACTCTACAATGAATTCCAAAATTGCATCAAAGGCACTGTTGAAGCTGCACTTCTGACAGAGGTTCCAGACTTTAAGGGGTTTGTAAGAAGCTACATCAGGGACGGATCCAAAATGCTGATTGGCCACTCCAAACGTCTTCAATTTCATTTCAGCATGCGTGACGGTGCTCCAGTGATGAGGTACAAGATGAGAGAATGGGACACAGTGTGGCTGCCAGTGGACGGCATTGAACTCTTCAAGAGAGATCCCATAACTGAGGAACCTATGATTCCTCAGGGTTCCCCACGGCCAATGCACCCGGATGGACTCAAAGACCAGGAAAGTATAGTGGCCGGGATTAGACAGCATATTGCCTTCTAGAAGAGGGGGTTGGTGTTTGGTGGAGAATCCTATTTTAAGAGGTGCAAGCCTTTGCTCGAATACTGGGAGAAGATTATATTTGCTATCCAAAATGGGCCGGTTGTATATGAAGAATTGGAAGAGTCCTTTTGGCCAGAACCCAGAGCACCAGATAGTAGCGGAACAAGAAATGCAGTGACAGATAACGATGTTGAGGATCACTATTGTGGGCCGAGGAACAAGAAGCCGGATTCAGCATTCAATCCAGTACAGGTCTGCAAAGGAATGGTCATGCTTGTCAGACCCAGTAATAAAAAACAAATGATATGGGTGGGGCGTTGCACCACTGATGCAGAGGAGGACGCAGAAACTAACTCCTTCAATGTAACTGTGGAGTGGTTCAAGCTAAGTTCCGGATATACGAAGGATTGCCTAGAAAAGAGATGGGTGCTGAATCCAAGGGATCCCAGCATGAGCATATTGGTGGATAATGTTGTGCATGGTTGGATGCGGAAGCAGAGTGCCACCATCACCTTGCCAGACCATGCAAGAGATGCAGCAAGAGCATTCATAACCCGGGTTCAAGGTGAGATTCATTAATATTCCTTTACTAAGTTTCTAATGTATTTTATTTCAAGGTGAACAATCCGAATCTGAATCAGAGGAGGCGTGATGGCATGTGGCCTTACGCCATTCCTAGTATTTGTATTTTGTATTTGAGATGATACAAATAACAAGTATAAATTCTTAGTTGTTCTAGCAAATCTTACTTAAAGTTCAAGGTGAACAAGCCGAATATGAATTCATCGGATTGTTATAACAAATTGCGAGGTGATGGCATGAGGCGATACGCCATTTGAGAGTGGTAGCCATTCCTATATGAGGTGAGTGAAGTATTTATTAGAAATACCTCATTCAATTGTGCACTTCTAAGTCTTGGTCCACTTAATACTGTTTGCATGTTTTTATTTTAATTCTTTCTCTAAAATGTTATTTAGCATGTGGCTTCATGCCATTGCTCTCCACAATCATGCATTGAATTTCTATCCTTGCATAATACTTCTCCATATATATAGCATGTGCGCATATGTGATATGGTTCATTAGGCCTGATATAGTGTGTGAGGTAAAACAAAGATGATGTGACATATGCATTTACCAATCACACGTGCATAAATCTAATAATATGGCATGTGGCCCATATTAATGGCACATAAACCCATATTGTGGGCTTACGTGCTTTATGTACCGGTTTAGGGTTTAGGGTTTAGGGTTTAGGGTTTATACAGCACAGGGAGGTAAATTCCTGAAATTTCCACCACGGTACGCGGCTTCTCGCTTGCGTGTGTACTTCACTGCGAAAAACAAATTCAAGACTCCAGGACCAAAACGAAAAGGGAAATTCACTTACAAGAAATGTAGCAGGCGAGGATCAGAGTTGTCCGAATTAACGTTAGAGCCGTTTGTCCGTTGCCTCATAAGGACTTCATGGTCGTCTTCAGGAAATGGTTCCGTCGGGTGCAGGTAGGACTTCATCAATGACCTCCGCAAAAATCCAAACTCTCATCCACATCCATATGCTGAGCAGAAACACTTTTGTATGGAGCTACTGAGGAAACGCGATATTTCGGAAGAGAGGACACTCAACACATTTCTCAAGACCCCGCATTTCGTGATGGAGATGAAGTCGCTTCTGAGGTATTCAAAACTGCTAGCACATCCAGCTAAGTCAGCACATAAAATAAACGACAAACTCTGATCCTTTGTAGGAAAAGCTTCTCCTTGGTCGCCAGAAGAGGCCCCCATGCGGTTAACACCCTCTCCATCCCAAGGTAGTTGGAGTCAGCAATGTTGGAAGTCATGATACAGTGAAACTTTATACTTTATACTGCCTTCAACTGATCAGCAAGCAGTCAAGCATCCTGGCAGAAGAGTTGCTAGGTGAAAGACACGAAACATCTTCCTTAGTAACAAAAGAGAAGGAGTCCAGAATGAACGTGAAACTGCGACCATGCTGGCTGAAGAGACTTTCCATGGTGTTCTCGACAGGACCGTCTGCACCACCTGCAGCATTGGGACCGAATTGAGCAAAGGACGCTTGCCCAATGCCGACAAATGGCTGATCAACCATAGACTGCTGTAGCACAGCCATTTGATGAAAGATTTCCTTCCTAGGCAAGTCTTCTTTCACATCCTCAGGCTGCTCTTGGTTATGCAAAAGGCTCCAGACATTATCATTAAAGTCGGTCCAAAGCATGGACAGACCACCCTTGAACGATGCCACAAGCGGAGCGCGATGTAGGACAGAAAAGAGCCTGCATGCAATAGTGGTTGTAGCCGAGTGCTCTAGAAATCCGCATCTCTTGAGAACATCCCAGCCTGCTGCGACAGACACCCGTCTGTCATAGCATCCGATTACCACAAGGCAATGGCGACCTCTACTGCGTCTCGGCTGAAGAGCTTCAGCAGTTCCAGGATCATAAAGTTCTGGACAGACACTTGAGCGTTGTTGTCGTTCACCAAGACCCGCACCTTGCCCGAGTAGCCGCAGAGATTACCTGATGCAGCAAAACACAAGTCGTAGAGCTTGACATCTTGAACCCCGGCCATGCTCCTGACACTGCAGTAGCTCACCAGCCTGCATCTCTCACAGACAACTCCTTCAACGGGTTTCGCACAACGCCCGGACACAGGCAAGAGCGCCTGGCCGTTTGGCATCGCCTTTGATGAAACCTTCAGCTTTGGCCGCGGTGTCAGTGAACAAGCCGCATTCTTGCTGGCGGGAGAAGCTTGACAGCTTCCTGTTGGAGCTCAGGCTTGCTGTTCGCCATCAGTAGTTTGTACAGGCATTCCACTGCTGCGTCATCCTCACCCACACTGTGTAAAGAGCTCTTGCCTTGTGGAAAGTTGCCTTGACATGGAACTCGTCGTTCTCGAGAACAGCGATGCCAGAGCATTCGGGAACTCCCCCAGCTTTAGATAGGCCTCCGCGCACCAACTCCTGTTTCAGCTCTTTGGAGGCAGTGTTTTTGGGAATCATCTCCCCACAAAGTGCGTTGCCTTTAGTGCCTGGAGCCTTAAAGTTCCTGTTGATGATGATGCTCACCATGCTCCCTGCTCTAAACCTTAAACCCTAAGACGATTGATTTAGGGTACCCTTGCCACGTTATAATGTAAAAAACTCTATTTATAACTCCAGCTTTGATGCTTTGGGTCATCAAAGCTGGAGTTATAAATAGAGTTTTTTACATTAAAATAATCTAATTGAGAATATTCTAAGTGTGTTTTGCCCAATCAAACAAGAGTGTTAATAAGATTGTTTTATTATTTAATTTATGTTAGCAAATAAAAATTCATCTTCCCACTGGGGCTTAAGTGAACTGATGAAGATCACTGACTGGTGTTCCACAAAAGAGCAATGATCACATCTCTCATATATTTATGTACATTCTGGCCTTGGAATTATAGCAATAAAAAAATGGACCTTGGCTATTAAAACTCGAAAATAAAAGATGTTAGAGGTATACAAATATATTATGTTTAAAAAAATTTTAAGTTTATATTTTGAAGTAAATCTTTTAAATATGATATTTCAAATTAATAAAAAATGATGACTGGAGAATCTTTCACCTCCTGTATTGTGTATAATAAAATACACAACACAGGAGGTGAGAGATTCTCAACTCATTCCATGCTGGAGTTCAGAATCTGATGGTACAGGCGACAGGGTCCAGAAACTTTCTGGGCGGAAAGAAAGTTGGGCCAAATGTCACGTCAACATTATTTCATGACAAATCACTTCACAATGAAGAAATTATAGAATGGAAAAATCGTTTATATTCTGAACCCCAGAGGGGCTACTCAGATCCGTGTGTGCCCTAGCGTCCATGGCTCGGGATAGACTTGTCTGGAGGCAATGCTATGGAATTGAGGAGTTTGAGAGATTTCTGGCAGAGAGTCAAGGGAACTTGATGGTTTCTCTTCCTGGGATGCGGGTGCTGCTGGATGGGCTGCACAAGGTTGAGTGGGGTGAGCTTCTTAGTGAAGGGAGAGTATCAACAGAGCGAGTGAGTGAATTGGTGCTGCAGTTGAAAGCCAAATTCTCCAGCTTATCGCTGCTGACCATCCTCATCCATGTGGGCGCATTGCTCCGTTATGTCTTTGCTGACGACGAGTCAAGGCATTTCAATCCGAAAAATGAGTTTGCAGCTGTGTTTCTGGGAGAGGATGGGGATTGTCTTGACTATCAGCTTACCATAGCAGCTGTAGCGAAGAGTGTGGGTTTCCCTATTGATGAGATGCGGGCGCTGAAGGAGGGCATTGACGATTTCCATGGAGATTTTCTCGGCCCCTCAGATGAGGTTCTCAGTCTTGCTGCAGAGCAGCAGCAACAACAGCACCGCTTTGAAACGGCTTAGGATTGAAGGGTAAGTGAGTGAATTTTTGAGCACTATCGCGTGACGGTCATTTAAACAGGGGCAATGACCTGGTGAAGCTGCCGCTATCCAGCTTTCAAGAGCTCTGCTCCTCCATCTCAACCCTGCCATGCCCGCTGGATCGGTTGGTATTCTGGCACATAGATTTGGGTTATGACAACAAATTGATGGACGCAATATGCCCATTATTCCTTGCGACTGCTGGCATAGGGCTATACTCCGCTGGAGAATTGGGCGAGAATGCCATGGAGGCTCTAAGCAAGGCTCTGGCGTCTCCCAAGTGTGTGCTGGAAAGGCTGTGGATTTCTGACAAAACCAGATTAGGAAACGAAGGGTTGGATGGTCTGCTCAAACACCTTAGTCCGGGCAGCAGTGCTAGACTGAGGAGCTTGGAGCTGGTGGACATAGGGTTTGATGACAGAGGAGCAGAGGTTCTGGCACGGGCAGCAGCAAGTTCCAAATTGCAGAGCCTGGAAGAGCTGCACCTACAATATGACCATATAGGTGACAAGAATTTCAAGCTTTTATGTGAGGCTCTTCAAGGGGGCCATCTCCCTCACCTGAGTGTGTTGCGCCTGGAGCTTAATGGGATCGAAGAAGAAGGTGCAACGAGTTTGGGTGGTGCTTTGGAGAGCGGTAGCTGCTCTTTGCACAGATTGTGCATCACTTGGAACGACATCGGTTACAAGGGAGTGGAGTGCCTCATGAAGGCCCTGCCTAGCAGCAAAATTCAAGACTTGACATTATCAATAGGGATGCCAAGGCGGGAGGATTCTGCAGAGAAATACTACGCAATCGCGGGAACAGCACTGGTTGAAAATCCACAATACAAGCTGACACGCTTAAGTTTAGGTTTTACATACAGACTCGAGGCTACAAACATTCCGCAAGTATTTATTGATGGTCTGAGCGAGACGCGCACACTTCAAGAGCTAGTTATAGAGGACAGACTGACGCCAGATGCTCAAGCGAGGCTTGGGGCCCATCTGAGACACTCAAGCTTGGTACGACTGGACTGTAGAACATTTGAGCATGAAGATCTATTCCAGGGAATGCTGGCAAGCAAGATACACAAGCTCAACATATGGGTGACGCCACAGAATCTGGATATGGTCTGTGACTTGATTCTTGGAAACCCAGATTGCAATCTTCAAAGCCTGGAAGTCGGGGGAACCTTGGACATGTGGATGCAGAAGCAGATGCTGGAAGCACTAGATAGGAATTACCAAAGCCATCTGGAAGAACTCTACGTGACAAAGGGATCAGAAGCCCTGGACGCAAAATGCAGTGAACTGTTGAAGCGGAATTCCATATTTCGAGCTGCTAGAGCCTCAGACAAGGAGGCTTATATGGCAAAACTGTTCTTGTGTGGTCCAACTCAGGCTGGGAAGACCACCATCAAAACAAACATCAGTCGCAAAAAATATTTGCCACTCCCAGCTTGCCTCCAACGACACCCTTCAACATCTGGAATTGAGTTGCAACCCCTCTCCTTCACCTTCAACAACACTGAACAGAAGCTGCTGATTTGTGATATGGCTGGCCAGTATGAGTTTCATGCATTCCACCACTCTTTCCTGAGGGGGTTCGACAAGAGCATGTTCTTGGTAGTATTGAGAGTGGACAACAGTGTCAACCGCAAAAACTTCACTACTGTGCTGGTGTATTGGTTGAGGTTTATTCCTTCCCACAAGCCGTCATCATCCAAACGGAAGCCTAAAGTGTTTATTGCACTCAACCTCTTCAGTGAAAAAGTCACCTTTGATACACTTGTGGATGAGGTGGTTTGCATAATTGGGCAGTACTGGGGGATTTTGGACATTGATGAAAACATCTTGAAGGTGAAAGCAATAAAGGCAAGGACTTTACAGGTTTTGAAAAGCAAATTAAGAAAGTCTTTACAAATATTACTTTCACAACAACTCAGAGTCCCTGGCTTGTGTGAAGATGCCAAAGAAATGTGCATACAACTGAAGAAGAATAAAATGCAGATTGTGGAAGTGCAAGATATTGGCAAACAACTGCTGGTGAAATATCAAAAACAGATCAAAACAAGTTTGGATGAGGCTCAGAAGCAGAACATGATCAAATTCGTGTTCTTGTTCCTGCATGACTTGGGAGAGGTGGTTTATTTTGATTCCATTTCAAAGTATGCCATCTTAGATGTGGAGTGGTTTATTCGAGATGTGATCAGCCTGTTTATTGATCCCCAGAAGATAAATATCTCATCAAACAGCCAACAACAGATGGTACAAGACATACATGCAGTTGCAGATAAACTATTCAAACATTGTCAAGGAGAACAAGCCAAAGTCGAATATATTTTTCAGTGCCTGTATGAGATGGGTGTGCTGATACCCATAGACGATGGCTGGACTGGGACATGGAAACCTCTACCTAAAGAAGTTGCTTTACCAGCACTTTCAGGCATCCAGCTGTCATACGCCCCATTTGACAGAAAACAAGGGGAGAAGTACAAGTACTGGGGCAGGAGATTGGAATGCAAGGATGTCACGTTTAAACTCTTTCCATCAGGTAATTTAGGATTAAAATTGTATTTCAACTAACAGATGAATGTTGTGTGACAGGTATCTTTGCAATGATTCAAGCCAAACTTCATAAAGAATGTAAGAATCCAAGTTTTGATGTTGGAAGTGGCTGGGTATCGTTCAATGAAGATAGGCTTGGGGTATATGTGAGGATAGGAGGTGATACAGATTCATGGACAGACAGACAATGGGTGGAATCATGCTTTTGGCACCTCAGGATGGTAGTATGAAGGCTGAGGAGCTGATGATGAAGATCAAGAATTGTGTTTTAGATGTTTGCTTTGGTGAGCTGGAAATTGGTGAAGAGAAAGTTTTGAAGACTAGATATGTTGAGAGGAGAATGCACCAACCACATAGTGAACCAGAAATTCAAAGAATTCAACACTTGAACTCACCTGAAGTGGCTGTCCCGCTTTCACAAATTCAAAAAGAAGCAGAGGAGAAAGGCCTGAATTACTCCCACACTTGGACCCGCAATGAAGATGATGAGCTGAGTAAGCTTCTGCTACCAAGTGAGCAGAGAGAACACATCCAGAAGAGAGCTATTGATCTCATTAAAGTCTGTCAGGATTATGAAAGGTTTGTGAAGGTGGTGTACGACACTCCCCCGCTGGATAATCACATTCTAGAAGTACCAAGGGACATTGAGAATGAGGATTTAAAAAAAGTGCTCATTTACATCCAACAGCGATTGGACCGCATGGAAACAAGCTTGGAGTCTATCAAAGCAACACTGGATAAGATAGAGAACATGGGAAGACAAGTGTTGGCACACAGCTCCAAAATGTTGCACTCCCTCAGAGTAGAATGTCCACGCTATCCATATCTGGTAAGTGAGGATAACAAGTTCATGAAGTACGTAGAGTTACGCCATAAGGTGAGAGTCCGGTACCATTGCGAGTATGCTGAGGGGAGTCACCCAGTAAACAACACAGAAGGTATGACAGTGAAGGTGCCAAAAGACTGGCTGAAAAACTGGGCTCCGATGCTCATCCCTGGACTCATAGTGCTCTTCATGGGGATCAACGTTGCAGCAAAACTATTGCATGTGGATTCATTTGTCAACGGTCTTGTAGATGTTCCCACACAAGAGATGCTGAACTTTCTCAGGAGTAACATGGGTAGGGAGACTTTGGATATAGAAACCTGGAAGAAGCTGAACCCGACAAAAGGAGATATTGAACAAGTGTTTGAAGTGGTGCGGCAGCAATGCAATGCAAGAGATAACCTGGAGATAGAGAGTATGATGCGCAAGTACTGTGGTCTGCAATGGCATACAGGTGCAGGTGCATGGCTTTGCCAGAGCCACTATTTAGAACTCAATTCAACCTACACGTGTAGTTTCAACTGAGCTCTAAACAGGTATGGTTTTATTTTGCAGAATTTTCATTCCTGATGAGCGTATTTTCAGGAGACGCAACCCGGGCCCAACGTTTTGCACAAAGCTAAATTTGTTTGTCTTCCGGATGCAAGAGGCGTGAAAGCCCCGACAGAGTAACATTCTGGACGGAGTTATCTACCAGGCACAACTACTGTCGTAACAACGTCGTTTGCACAGCAGAGTGGAAGTTTGAACAGTTTGTTCCTTTAATTTGGCTTCTCATTGGCTTTCTCTGAAGTTTCTGCCAAGGTGGAGAAGATCAGCTACGGTGGGCTTTTGTTGTACTGTCTTGTGGATGTTCCACGCTGATGCTGTGCCTCTCAGATGACGAAAGCAAAAAAGCCGCCAGGAGTTTAGGACGAGACTTCGTTGATATAAAACAGGTCGTTAAGGTTCAGATTGAGATTCCTTTAGAAGGTAACTTGTCTATCGGTTGTCCCATTTGCTGCTATGATAATGTTGTATATTTGTTGCAGCTTCCTCCTGCCCCTGCGTGACATCCAATGCCTCCGCCAACTGGTGGTTTTCCTGAGCAACACCCAAATCCCAATGCACAAGTCCAACCGTCTTGAGCAATACGAAGCCCCTCAAAAGCAGGCTGCGACTGACCAGGCCCCAAAACGGTGTTCTACGCGTTGAAAGCTCGAAAACTTTCAGGACGTAGACTCGAGGGACTCGTGATCTGACATTTCTGTTTCCTCTGGATCGTGAGCTCCTGGAACTGCTGGCAAGATGTTAAGTACTGTCGAGTTGTCAACATGTCCCTTGTACCCAACATCCCGCATTCTTGGCCTGCGCATGCTGGTGGTGCTGCTAGTGTGAGACATGGTGTAGCAGAAGTTAGAGACAATAACAAACGAGGATGGTAAACTACTTTCTCCAGGCGGTGGTAAATTTGCACGATATGTGAGTTTAAGTTGTTCTTTTGGAGTGCCTGCCTCGAGAGGGACTTGATTGATCAGAATCCAAACCTTGGAGATGATTTTGAGGTGCGCTGCTACTTCAGGAGGTTCTCTCAAATCGCAAAGTTGTTTGGCCCTCGTTGAAAATTCCGCTTGCTGGATCCACCTTGACGGATTCATCCGGCTCCACATCGACATCGTTAATTTAACATTTTTATTTATGTGCATTGACAGCATTATACAAAAAGTTGTGATTATACAAGGCCTATAGATCCAGCTAGGTTTGCTTATGTCAATAATAAATTTCATTGTGACCTCCCAGATTATTGTGAAGATGGAGATTTTATTTGTGCATGGAAGCTAGGAGAACCAGGTGGTTTTGGTGCACATTATTATGCATGCACAAGTAATCAATGGGTGAAATTTAATTATGCTTTACTTTTACAATGTCATGATAATACAAATTCACAAGGTTGTGCATGCTGGTGAAATATAATGTCAAAAACAAAAACTTACAACAAGAGCCATCAAAAACTTCAACCAAATGCAATAAAATAACTTCTTTTTATAAAATTTAGGACCGGATCATCAACCAATTTACAAAGTCGCCAAAAGAGTTTCCATTACGTTCCAAGCATGGTCAAATTAAAGATGAAGAGACCACCTGGAGGTGTACTGCAGTTGCTCAAAGTGAAGCATGATCTTCTGTAAACTGGGCAAACATATAAACAATTTGGTTGAAAACTAGAAAACTTGGGGACCACGGGACCAGTACTACGGGCTGAACAGTCGTCATCACCTGTATGGAGGTCCTCTGCTGTACATTGACAATCAAGCTCAACCAAGATGGGCTTCTGATCCTCCAGAAACAACAGCTGCCTGTGAAAGAATACAGATTATGCTGAATTGAGCAAGAGGAATGGTACAAATTATCTGTAGCCTACCTGAAGGAGCCTGGTTTTGATAACCTGCACGACATGTTGCGCCTTGGAAGTAGGAATTTGAAGAGGTACTTTGCCTCTGTCGGCTCCATGGTTGAAATTGATCCTTTGCTTCACATTTACCACTTGATGTTGACGGTGTGCGTTTCACGGGCGAGTAAGCAGAGCAAGGCAGAAGAGCAAAACGATTACCAGGACGGCTCCCAGTGCAGGATTCTGCTTAAACAATCTGAGGGGGCGGTGCAGTGTCCGGCTCGCATTTCGTGTAATTTCCTGACCTGCTTCAGCATCTGCTGCCATCGCCTACAAGAGGACAAGAGGAATTTCACAAAACCTAAAAGATTGGAAGATTCACTCACAGAGATCGTAAATGCTGCTCAATCCACTCCACACCGCGGAGATTCCTGATTTCGGGAGATATTGGAGTTCTTGCGGAAAAAATCAAAATGTACCTGATGTGCTTCCCGAGCAGAACCGGAATCTGTGGAGATTGCGCCGAAATCGATCAAGGAACCTACACGCTCGTCGAGGAGCGGCGCATTGTGAGCTCTTCAGTGGGAAGCAGCAGGCTTATCGAGCATGATCTTCAGTTGTCGCTTCGCGCTATGGGATGTCATGTGTGCAACACAGCCAGCTTGAAATCACCATTCTCTCCAAACCCATGCAATTGACGAGAATATACTCATTCATATAGCATTCCAGCAAATGCCGCGAAAGGGCATTTGCTGCAAAAAACCGGTCTGTTTTAAAAACTTAAAAAGCCAGCATTCCTTCATGATCATTCTTCAGCAGCTCCACTGAAAACGCAACCAGGCCAGCCAGTATCTCCAGTTATGGCTTCAGAGCTTCTCAATGAAAGCAGCTTGTTCCCCAGCTGCTCCGAATTCGAATCCTCCACTGGCGCAGAAGGTTATGGTGTATCCCCCACCCGTACCGCAGGTGAAGGTACTAGTCAAATCGTCGTAAGCATAACTGTAAGCCTGTGGACAAGCATCCTTGAACACCTTGGAGAAAGGCGTTGGAGGGCAAGTTTCAGGCTTGTCGTGCGCTCCTCTGCAGCAGTAAGCATCCGTTTGGAAAACCTCGCAAGCGCTCTTGCAGCCGATCACCCAGTTATCCTTCCAGACTTTCAGTTCGTTGGGGCATATAGCGTTCAGGTCGCTGTGACAGCCAGCCGACTTGCAGTTCCACTCCGGGTTGATTCTCATTGGCAAGTTGTAGCCGTCCACGAGCGAGACGTCGTAGAAGTCTTGGTTACCGTGGCCGTTGAGCTGGAACTCGGCCAAGGTGGCGGGAGTGACACCACCCGAGTTGCCGCAGTTAAGTTTGTCGCCGCAGTCGCCCGAGTCGCAGTGGCCGCGCCCGTTGCCGTCGAAGTTGCAGCCTCTACGGCCCCAGAAACGGCCAGCCCAGTCTGCACCGGGGTTGAGGTCATGAGACTGCCAGGAATCGAGTTTAACACCACCGGTTCCTAGTTGTGGCTTCCCGGAGTTGGAAATCCAGCCAGGCCACACTGTGAAGGGACATGCATTGTAGAGGCGGATCCGAACGCAACTAACACCTGAAAAGAGAACGACAATTCAGAAACAGAATTGGAAATTCACCTGAGGAAATGCAAAACAAGTGTTACCTTCAATTGCGAGAAGAAGAGCAGCCAACACAGCCAGCAATCTCACTCGATGAACCTCCATTTCTCTTCAGCTTTCTAGTTCTTCACTTCTTTCGATTCTGAGGATTCTGAGGACTGCCCCAAAGAATTTATACTAGCAGAAGAGCCGTAGCGAACTTGTCCACTACTCTGCGATGTCGATCAACTACTGGTCCTTCGAAAGTCTTCAATGTGATATACGTCAAGTGGCTTCCGCCCTCCAGCAAAAATGTTTTGTGACTCACTGTACTCCTCGTCATTCAGGACGGCTCGCTAGTTTCTCCACAGAAAGACCTTTCCACCAGCTCTCCTGTCAGCCAGAGTTACACTTGCCAGGAGCAGGTGTATCCTTCAAACAGTTTCCGTACAGGGTACCTTGCTTGACCCGACTTTCTTGAGTTACAGTCTCGGATGGCCTTCCAGAACTATAAAGCAAGTGCTTGAAACCAGCTATATCCAACTCCAACAACTTTCCATGAGCAAAACCTTACCCGTAGCTGGGTCCACAACGTTCGACGTTTATATCATTGTCCTCACTATCGCATGATTTCCAACAGTGAAATGCACATAATCTGTGGCCCCACTGCGGACTAAAGCAACGACCTTTAATACTCAGAGAGAGTCAAGTAACTTACGCTGTTGTGCTGGCTAGTTGCCGGTGGCTAGTCCAATCGGGATAAGGAAGAAGACAGTTTCTTTGTAGCTCCAAGCTCTTCAATGGCAGCCTGCAAGCAAGAATGGGATCTCCTCCCAAGTAGTCAAACACGAAAAAATTACCTCTTCAGTGAGGCTCATCAAGCATGATCTTCAGATGTAGTTCCTCTCGCTTCTCGCTATGGGATGTCATGTGTGCAACGCAGCCAGCTTGATAATAAAATCACTATTCTCTCCAAACCCATGCATTGAGGAATTCTTTGCTCTTTCTTTCTCGAGTCGGAGGACATGCTCTGCAGCGCGTGACTCACGAGCTGGATCAGCATGATTCTTACAGGCTGCCAGCAGAATCTTCAAGCATCTTCCAACACACTTCTAGCATCTTCCAACACTTGCAATACATGTTCACAAGCCCCGTCCCAACCGTTAAGTCTTGCTGGAACCCCGCTTCTGTCACGCTTTTGTGCAAAGTTCTGGCTTCTGCTGCTGAAGATGACTTCGATGGATTCGCACACGCGTCCAACAGGCTCACGAATATGATCTTATCGGGCTGCACACCTTCTTGGTCCATTTTCCTGAACAGCTCGAGGCCCTCCTTGCCGTGCCCAGTGTTGGCATATGCACTAATCAGTGCACTACAAAGCACCACATCGTACTGGGGAAGCTCCTCGAACAATTTCCGAGCGCTCTCCACGAATCCTTTCTCTACGCTTGCGGAGATGATCGAAGTGTAAGAGGCGATAGACTGCTGCGGCATTCTAATCGTGGCGTCTTCAAGATGCCCCAGCCGGGCATATGCGTGCACCATCACAGACCAAGTCACCGAATTGCGCTTGGGCGCTCTTCTGAAGAGCTCCTCTGCAGGCTGCATATACCCGCTCTGAGGATACCCAGTGACCATAGCGTTCCACAGCACCACGCAGCGGGAAGGCATTCTGTCGAAGATGTGCAGGGCGCAATCCAGATGCCCCTTGAAGGCATACGCGCTCACAACAGCGGTCCAGGACGCTACATCCCTCTGCGACATCTCCCTAGAGACGCACAGCGCCTCCTAGAGGTTCCCATGTTGGGCATACGCCCCGATGATGGTGCTCCCAAGAACCACATTCTTCTGCGGCTTCTGCTACGACCGCCCCAGCTGCACCGCTCCGCCACACCGTCTCGCCAGAGTCGATGATTACGAGACCGGAGCTTGTTACCTGCAAGCTGCTGTTGCTGCTCAAACTCTGGGTCCTGTTGAGCTTCTGCCCTGCTCAGCAGCAGCATCCACAAGCTCACCAATGGCACCAGCATGATTCCTTGTTCCTTGCCTCCCTAAACTTCCTGGACTCTGGAGGTCCTGAAGAACCTCCCGCTCGAAAATGTGTTCAGAGTTGTACCCTTGTAGAGTTGATAACCTGTGAAGAAGAAAATGGACTGCAATTTCTCGGCGTTAGCTAATACGTGAGGTAAGAGGTTTTAGCAAAATAAAAAATAAAAAACAAAAATAATAAGAAAAAAAAAAATTCCAGTGAGGCCACAACTTGCAATTTCGTGGACTTCGGAAATTGTATAAGCTTGTGTTCTATATCTTGCAGCGAAGAAAGTCCAAAACAAAGTACTAAGTGTAACAATAAATAGTCTTTTACGGGATACCATTGTTGTGATCATCAATGTGATGTCCCCCTGGAACCTAAGTGCTAATGTTGGTAACGGACCAAGCTCGTCATCCATAACCTCATTGCAACATGGACATAGTCCCCGATCTGGCTGTACGGGCTTCAGAGAATACTCTACAGCAAACGTTCCATTCTACTAGTTTGATTCAGAAGCTCGGTTCTACTAGTGACTTGAAACAAGCGATGATGAGATGCCTCAGCTGAATGCAGCAGCTTGGAATCTCCAAAACGAATTTCTCTAGCTAGCAGTCTATATCATAAAGAGAAGAGAGAGAGTTATTTGGGTGTCATACTATGCCGTGTTTCTACTCAATTTGTTAAAATGATAGTGACCTTTTGTTGAAAGTATATTCGCCAATGAGTCTTAAGTGCTGATTTCAACAAGAACAAGCAAATTAATCCGCACCCAGTATATCAACTATAGCAGATGCTTAACATTTTATATTTTTTAGCGTCTACTCATGTCATAGAATATTCAATATTATACAAATGGAAAAGAAAGATTAAAAAAATAAAACAAAGATCATATATGTTTTAAACAGCTCAGAGATTCCCGTGGCTCCAGGAGCACGCATGGCGCACTCAGGTGTGAGGTTCTCTAGACTGTTGGCAATTGATATCACCATACATTTTGCAAGTTATGAGTATCAACAATGGAAAATTTCCAAGCCTTCCCGAACATTCCCACACACACAAGACCGTCTGCATGCCCTTCTCCATTGAGACCATAACCTGCCATTGTTGCAGTCCACGAGCTTTTGAATAGCTCCTTGGCAACACATTCCCCGTATTGATCAAAGCTGTTGCGACTCTGTTTAATTCTGCTCCACATCCCCTGACATTGCTGTGAATCAGTTCACTAGTTTGAGAGAAGGTGAACTGATTCACATTCTTTAAAACTGGTGCTGCGGGGAAACAGTTGTGCATGATGCATGGTGCACTAGAGAGTGGCATCAGCTCTCAAATAAGCTTCACCCTTGTTTCCCTCAAGCTATCCACCTTGGCTGCCGCAACTGTGTCTGAATTGCTCTCCAGGTCTTTTCTCACCTCCTCCTTTGTGGAGGCCGACACTACCAGCGCATTATCATGCACCACATCGAACACCTCTGCGGTGACAAACCTGTTGCTGTTGGAGAACTCCATCACGGCTTTATATACTTGGGAGCGGAATGATCCGATTGACCCAAGACGGAGGCAGCTTTTTGGCTCTCACCTTGGCCGCTATCGCCGACGGCAGGCGCCCCTTCCTAGACGGCTTCTGCGTCAAATCCTTCCTCAGGTTCTCCCTGGCAACAACAACAACAACAACAACAGTCTGTTTAGAGGTTGGACGGTGGCATAAACCAATAACGCCCAGGGAAGCAAGACTATGCCCTTTCTGCCAGTCGAGGACCTACAACATTTCGTGCTAAACTGCCCGGCATATCACTTCATTCGTCGTCTGATACCACAGCTCCACTGGGAAACCGAAAACCTCGAAATCTTCATGGGGGACGCGTCCAAAACACTATACCTCAGCACCTACCTGAAAGCGGCTACCCAATATTGGAGCGTGATCAACCAGATTTTCCGTTTCTTCGACACACGCCCGCAGGGCAACAATAAGGTACGTGTTCGTCTAATGCTTTGCAAAAGGAGGCGCAAACATGCAGTCGATGCAATCCCATTCGATAGGTAGCGATCATCTTCCTGGTTCCGGGTCTGCAGTACTGATATAAATCCTGTCCCAGTTGGCGGTTCGAGTTAAGGAGGGTAGCGTAGATTGCTAGTTTTGTGCCAGCGCTTCGATTAAGCCATGTTGCTATGGCTGTCTGGATCCATCGTTCCTGAAAACCATCCATGCTGTTTAGAACGTCATCAAAGTTGATTCCCAAGTGGTATGTCCATTGGGCGAGGTGGAAGTACCATCCATGGTAGGGCGTTTTGGCTAGTTGATCCGAGTCTACAATAGCTGCCTGCGCCAATTTGTCCGTCGTTTTTAGGAAGGTGTTGAGGAGATATTGCATAGTCTGTTTCCATGCTGAGATCTCGAAGGGAAGAAGTCCGGCTTCCAAGATCATAATCGTGTAAGGAACGGTCCTGCAAACCCCGAATTCCTTTTGGATGAGAGTCTTCGTTTGGTTCTCAAAACGTCCCCATGCAGTGTGAGACATGTTCGGGCTCCACATCTCGCAGGCATATAAGGCCACTGTCGCTACCTTTGTTTGGTAGAGGATTCGTTTTGCATACCATGTCTCTACTCCAGGAATGTTCTGCATTGCGTGATAGGCACACTGCGCTGCTCGTCTTCTTTCGTAGGTTCCGGCCTTCCATGGATTGTGTCTGTGTATCATGTTCGGCGATGGCGCGGCAACGGCTGGGGGCTCCTGAACGGGCTTTGGGATCCCTCGGCAGTAGACCTAGTCCTCTCGGAAGTAGACCTACTTCTCTCCTCGCCCCTCGTCCAGTTCTGGGTCTCAGGGTTTCCACCGGGATTAGGCGCCGTGCGAGGCCGCGCCCTCACTCCTTCTGCAAGCGCCCATCTGCCCTTGGGTCGGTGTCCAGAAAGCCTGCTCCGAGGCGCTGAGCGCTGGACCAGACCGGAGCTTTGAGGACGCGGAAGACTCGGGCTTGTTGAAAAGCCCCCTCCTTTCAGGGCTCATCTCCAACTCTCCGCTCTGGTAGCTATGGAAAGACATGAACAGGGCAGAGGGAAGCGTTTGCACTCGGCTTCGGCGGCCTGCTGAGTGGGCCTTGGAGACTCCACGTGGTCCTCACGTGGCTGCCAACGTAGAGAATTCAGGGCTGTGACCAACCCGCCTTGCCTTGACGGAAACCGTTGGTGCTGGACCTCTCGGCATGCGGTTTTCTCCCTCACGACATGGCAGCAAGTCAGGAGGAACCAAGGGTTCATTCCTGGGTGCTGCGCCGGCCTGACGATCAGGACAACGTACAACACCCCTGGATCTTCCGTGTCTGGCGCAGACGGCTGCACGGCCATGTTGAGTACTTTGGCGTCGTCTACTACCGTAACTGTCAGAGCTATGTCCAGATATCTGCGAGCCAGTTCCTCCTTGACCTGCTCGATCCAGAGCGCCAGTACAACCATGTCGACCTGCTGCCACTGGTGGTCAACATTCTCCACGACCCTACCAGCTACTTCCCCATCGACCTGGTTGATGACCAGCTGGCAGACGCGTACTTCAAGCAACTCGTAGACAGAGGCTTCGTCCCTGCTCCTCAACATCCTCCGTTGCCCCTGGGAGGATATCGCCTTTATCTGGCCCCCAGGTTCCAGTGGGACTTGCTGGTCACGATGGATGGCGAGGGCCATGCGCACAGATACGACACCAGGAGTGCTACTCGCTCATCCCGCTGCACTCCCCCGACTAGTCGCTTCTCCAAGTATGCTGACCCAAACCACCTCAACGGTATCGGCGAGGTTGCCCTGCTACTCGTTCCCTGCCGCCAGCTTCGTCCCCACCGGTGCAAGAGTTTCAACCAGCGGAGAGATGGGACATTCGCTCTCGCTGTTCTCCGGGTGGTGGCACCATCGTCTTGTATGGCAACAAGTTGCTTCAGTGCACGGGGCCTATCCTGGATGACGAACTCCCGCCGCTTTCAGACTCCCCAATCCGGCTGGTCTCTCCTTCGCTTTACGTGATTCCCTGGAAGGAGAGCTCGCCAGCAGAGAGGATAACAGAGCAACAGATGCCCCGGATGCCAGCAATGGCCGAATCGTCACGAGCTCAATATACGGCGGCAGAAAAAGGCAAAGCGGTGGCTTCTGAAGACCCCTCGCCTGCAGCGATGAATGCCGAAAATCAGCAACCTGAGAGGTCTGGCGGTGTGTCAGGGGGGTGTGAATGCCCAACAGGGGGAAACAAACAAAGAACATTGGAAGTCGATGCCGCAGGGACGCATTTAGAGCAAGAGATCGAGTGGAACGTTGACATTATCGCGAGAATACCTTGCGAGGAGCGATCGATCCATCGGAGACGCTAATACGCCGCTACTGGATGTTAACGGCGGCAAAACCCTAAAATGGAAAATGGAGGCTGTGAAATATTTCTTATTGATCAAGCTTCCATTTTTCAAGCGCGTGGTACTGGTGCCACAAATCTTTTATTCCTTGAATAGTTTCTGTGTTTAAAGCGAAGACTAATCTACCGAAGAAACGTCAGTGCGTGATTTTTAAAGTATCAATCCAGCAGGGCTCCAAACATGGGCTGTGGCTGTTACGAGGTAGGCTGAACGATTCCCAAGTGGTTCAGTCGCTCATTGGCAAGTGCAAGATCCGGGTTGGCTCCAGGCGATGCTGGATATATAAGTGGCAGCCGAACTTCACGTCGCGCAACTGAGACCTGCTGTTGCGCACCATGTTCACCGTGCACCTGTACATGCCTTCCGAGTACTTCTGCGAACCGGTCATTCGTAAGCTTTCCTTGGTGTTCGGTGAGCTTGTCGACATCCAGGGACATACTGCCAGGGAGGGCCATGTCCACTTCTCTGTGCGGGTTGAGGAAGGCACACACATTCCCCTTCAAGTTACCATCGAAGGACATACAATGCGGCTAGAGAGCAGCCATGCAGGCCAGGTTTGTAGGTACTGTCATGTGGTTGGGCACCGCATGCAGGAGTGCCTGAGCATCAAGCGTCAGCCTCCGACCTACAGAGCGGCTCACCCAGGGGTGCAGCGCGATGATTGTTCATTGTCCCGACAGCAGGAGCAAGACTGGCAACCTGCTCGACACCCCAGGACCA